ACACACACACACACACACACACATTTCTCTGATCAAGATGCTTCATAGAGCTCATCATGAAATCTTGAAAGCTTATACATTCTTTCTTATTTTTTTTATTAAATTGTTTTTTCAACTTTAAAAAAAAAAGCAGCATTTTATCTCAAGGTTTAAAAACTGCTGGGTGGATCCAGGCTGCAGGTCTCGGTGGGAGTACTAAACTCAATCTGTTCAGTTTTCCTTACCTTTCAGCATATGGTGCGTGCCCGTTATATGTTCGGAATAGGTTAATTAACGACAAGTACTAGTCATTTCAGGGCTTCCCTGGTGCTCAGCCATAAAGAATCTGCCTGCAACGCAGGAGCCAAGGGTTCAATCCCTGGTTTGGGCAGATCCCCCGGACAAGGAAATGGCAACCAGCTCCAGTATCCTTGCCTGGATAATTCCATGGACAGAGGAGGCCGGTGGGCCAGTCTGTGAGGTTGCAAGAGTTGGATACAGCTTAGTGATTAAACCACTACCAGCACAAGATGCTTTTGAACTGTGGTGTTGGAGAAGACTCTTGAGAGTCCCTTGGATTGCAAGGAGATCCAACCAGTCCATCCTAAAGGAGATCAGTCCTGGGTGTTCATTGGAAGGACTGATGCTGAAGCTGAAACTCCAATACTTTGGCCACCTCACATGAAGAGTTGACTCATTGGAAAAGACCCTGATGCTGGGAGGGATTGGGGGCAGGAGGAGAAGGGGACAACAGAGGATGAGATGGCTGGATGGCATCACCGACTCGATGGACATGAGTTTGAGTAAATTCCGGGAGTTGGTGATGGACAGGGAGGCCTGGCGTGCTGCGATTCATGGGGTCGCAAAGAGTTGGACACGACTGAGCAACTGAACTGAACCACAAGTCATTTCATTTTTTTTTTTCTCTTTGGCCTTGCCATGCGGCCTGGGAGATCTTCTCTGACCAGGGGCTGAACGCGTGCCCGCTGTGTTGGGAGCGCAGACTCTTAACCACTGGACCACCAGGGAAGTCCAAGTATGAGTCATTTTAATTGCAGGTGACGGAAGCTTCTGGCTAAACATGTGAAAAGCAGTATTGCAAGAGTGCTGTTGAAAGAAGACTGCGGAAGATCTGTAGAGCTTGCTCTGAGCCGAGGAGTGGCTTAGGGAAGGCGGACATGAGGGTGGCATCTCTGTTGGGTGTTGCCAGAGGGCGATTTGGTTCTGTTCATTTCACGATTCAGAATCCTCAGGGAGCCCGCGCGGGGACTGATGACTTTCCCAGAATCGTGGGGAAGGTGGAGGTTGGGCGCCTTCCCAAAGGAAGGTGCTCTGGGCAGGCACACACTCCAGGTGTCCTCTCTGGGTGAATCCCAAGGCAGCCGTGACCCTCCGGGAGTTCAGGTTCCTGGGGAAGGATGGGTGGGGAAGGGGTGACTAATGGTGGGCCGGGTGGGACTGAAGGCGGTTTGCACAGGATGCACTGGGAGCTCAGGGAGGTTTTAAATTTTGCAGGCGGTGGGGACTGGCAGTGTCAGATCAGGGAGACAGAGAAGTTTGTTCAGGATTAAATTTTAAAGGCTGAATGAAATTTTGCCAGCTGGACAAATGCATTTCAGGAAGAAGTCCTCTGATGACAGTTCAGCGAGATGAAAGCGTGGTGTGTCCAGAAACATGTTGGGGTTCCCAGTGCCTGGCCCAGAGGGGTTCCCAGCGCCTGGCCCAGGACGCATCATGGAGAAGATAGACATGTATACCTACGGCTGATTGGGGTAGAGGTTTGACGGAAAACAATAAAATTCTGTAAAACAATTATCCTTCAATTAAAAAAAAGAAATGTGAGTGGGAGCCAGATCTTAGGGGGCCCGTGTGCTCTGTTAGGCTTTGGGACATTTTTTTTTTCCCCTTAGACCATTTTGGGGGCATTTCCCCCTTTTTTATTTTCCTTTTCTTGAGCACAAAATCTTAAAGAATACTGAAGGAGATGACAGTACCTGATCAAACAATATCTAAATACCTAATAGTAGTACTTAACTGAACTCTTAAGGGATGAATTTGGTTTCAGGAAAGGGCCTGGGATTTTCTAGGTAGGAAGCATCCTACCTGGGCACAGGCCCACTAGGTTTTGGGAGTTTTAATCCTGGGAAGTGAACTCTCGTGAGCTCAGTCCCAAGTGTCAGGAAGATGCTTGTGGGGCGAGAGCGGCGTCCTCGATGTACACGTCCTTGCTCGAAGCTGTGGCCCTCGGGGTGCTGAAGGCTGCAGACACGCCAGAGAATGAGGTGGGCGCTCTCTGTCCGCACCTGTGTCCACCTCTCTGCGACCCCGGGGACTGCAGCCCACCAGGCTCCTCTGTTCACAGGTTTTTTCAGGCAGGAATGCTGGAATGGGTTTCCGTTTCCTCCTCCGGGGGATCTTCCCCACCCAGGGATTGAACCCGGGTCTCTTTCATTGCAGGCAGATTCTTTACCCACCGAGCTCTCTGGGAAGCCCGAGATGAGGGGGTCGGCAGTCAAAGGTGGCTCCCCAGAGGGCTGGAGAGCCCCAGATTTCAGGGGAAGTTCTGGGAACTCCATCAGCCGTAGCCCATTCCCGGGATGGCAGCTGGGGAGGGAACGGGGGCCCTGGCAGCCTTGCCTCCCCATGGAGTCCTGTGTTGAGAGTGGCATGTCTTGTCTTAGGAGGCCCCAGGCCCCTGAAGTAGATGGAGAAGCCGGTTTCGAGGTTCACCCCCGTCGCCGCCTCCACCCCCGGCAGCCCCTTCTCCCCCGTGCCTGGAGATGGGCTGCTGTGCGCATGCAGCCGCCCGGGGGGACGTCTGGGAAGAACGCAGAAGCTGCTCTGGCCCTTTGGCTGGTGGGAATGGGGGCGCTTCCTTCGCTGCCACGTCATGGGCCTGCGGAGGTGGTTGAATGAGGTTCAGAAAGCTGGGGTCGCCGGGGGTGCAGGAGGCGGCGGGGAGGGCTTCTTGTTTCCTGTGAACACAGCTCTGACCGGGAGCGCTCGTGGTGCGGCTTCCTTTACAACAGGTAGTTGCTGAAAACAGGAAAAGGTTTGCTCCCACCGTGAGGATTTGAAGCTGGTGCTTTGGAGGAATCGGGACTGTTCTAATATGTGTCCCTGGTAGGGTAGGTCATGCACCTGAACATCGTGGAGAACAGGTTAGAAACACGGGATCCAGACCCAAAGGATGGGCTGGAATCTGCTTGTCTCCAACACTTTAGCTGTGTGATTTTGGCCAAGTTACTTAACCTGTTTTAGGGTCTCCAACTGGAATAAGTTGTAATAACAGCACCAATACCATTATTACCACCCCCCCCAAAAAAGAAACCCTAATGTTTATTAAGTACTTGCAATATGCCAGGCACTGTGTGAAAGTGTTTTATATTCATCATCTCATTTATTTATTTTTTATCTCATTTATTTTGTAAACCTGTGATTTAAGTGGTGGTATGATTAGCCCTTTGTAGATGAGGAAATCTGGAGTCAATTGATTGATAGGTATCTTTCTCTTCCCTCTATTTAATTGAAAGGCAGTTATGTCTGACTCTTTGTGATCCCATGGACTGTACAGTCCATGGCATTCTCCAGACCAGAATATTAGAGTGGGTACCCTGTTCCTTCTCTAGGGGATCTTCCCAACCCAGGAATCGAACTGGGGTCTCTCGCACTGCAGGCAGATTCTTTCCCAGCTGAGCCACCAGGGAAGCCCAGGAATACTGGAGTGGGCACCGATCCCTCCTCCAGCGGATCTTCCCCACCCGGGAGTCGGACCGGGGTCTCCTGCATTGCAGGTGGATCCTTCACCAGCTGAGCTCCCTGTAGTTGAATTACAATGTTGCGTTAATTTCCGCTGCAGAGCAGTGATTCAGCTGCACACATTCATACATTTTTGGGGGGTAGCTAGGATTTACACTCAGCGGATATGGAGGTTGTTACAGCACAGAGCTCTTCTGAGGTTTGAAGGTCATGTGTGAGGCATGCACTGCAGACAGTCCTGCCACGGAGCGCGCGCTCGGCACTCTTGGTGCTTCTGGCGGTCTTGGTCTCACCCGTCCTTTTCGTCCCTTGCAGAAGCAGCTGACGCAGGATGACGACGCCGACGAGGTCGAGATCGCTGTTGACAACACAGCTTTCATGGACGAGTTCTTCTCCGAGGTGGGTGTCCTTCCACTGTGTTTCTTCTGAATGGCCACAAGGAGACACAGCTTCCTCAGGCAAGAATGAAGCCCGCAGGTCTTTCAGGGGCCGCGGAGGAAAGCATTCTGCTGGGGTGGGGGCCCCGACTGAGAGGCTGCGAGGAGAGCCTCCTATTGCTGGGGAGGACGTGGGCTTCTAATCTTACTGAGAACCCAGCAGAAGGTACACTATATACATCAAAGAGATGCTGGTAAAGTCTTAGACTCATGATAACATTTTCATGATATCTTGTCTTGCCTACAGTACAGAATTTAGGTAGAGAACTAACCCAGGGGACCCAGCCAGGAATGTAAGAAAAAGAAAAAATCCATTTCATTGTCTTTTTAGGCCTCTAATTGGGATAGATCAGAATTGTTGTTACCAAAACTTCAGTCCCTTTGATTTAATTCTGGTAATAACTCACAAACCAAGAAACTGCCAGTTTATGTTTTTTGAAATTCAGCAGAGGCAGAAATGGGTGGCCTGTGTGTACAGATTCACATGGTCTTTGAGATAGAGGGTCCTGCTGGAAGGTGCTGTGGGAGACGTGAGTGGTGGAGAGCTTGGGTTCGCCTCAGCCCTGGGGACTCCCCCTGGCAGTCCGGTGGTTAAGACTTTACCTTCCAGCGCAGTGGAGGTGGGTTTGCTCTCCTGTCGGGGCGGGGGGGGGNGGGACCTAAGATCCGACATGCCCCATGACTAAAAAACCAAAACATGAAACAGAAGCAGTATTGTAACAAATTCAATAAAGACTTTAAAAATGAATGACCCCCCCCAAAAAAAAACTCAGCTCTGTTCCCGACAGCTGCCATTCTTATGAACATTCCTTCACAGGCTTGCTTGCTTTATCTGTACATTGGGACCGATAATATAATTCCCCAAAGGACTGTTAGGAGGATTAAACGGGTTCATGTTTCTGAAAGGTTCATGGAGCACCTGCCATACACGTGTTTCAACAAGACCGAACCAAACCGCAGCCAGTCCAGCGTGCGCCGCCAGCACACTATGCTCTCTCTGTTCAGGCTTTTCCTGCTGTATCTGGAGAGGTGTCCTGCTCTCTGCAGGGCGGGTGTGGGTGTGGAGGAGCCACACCATTCTCTAAGTGGATCGGGGCCTGATGGCTCCTGCCCCTCATCTGTGAGGGTCAGAGCGGGTTTCGGGGTGAGCCTGAGCGTGTGCATGCCTGATTGGGAAGTTAGCCCGTGGGTGGGCCCGTCCCTTTGCGGGAGGAGTCATAATGAGATCAGACGGTGCTTGAGTTATTTATGAGTCCCGTGTTGCTCTAGGTGTGGACCCTGGAAGGGAAAGCTCTTTCAGTTCAGTGCTGGGGGTGGGCGTGAGGAGCTGGGTGACGTTGCTGCCGCTAATCGCCCTGCTCTTGCCTCAAAGAACCAGTTACATTGATTTCTTTTCCAAGATCAGGACTTTCTGCAGTAACGGGGTCCTCCCTTTTCTCTTAACCCAGTAGGAGGGGACCCGAGAGGCAGTGTTCCTTGGGTGGTCAGATGGGTGCGCCTTGGCTTCCACGACCTGATCTGAGTCTTCCCTCAAGCCTTTAAATAGCAGGTGACCTTGGGCAAGTTCCTGAACCCAGCTGGGCTTTAATCCCTGCTCTGGAAATCAGGAACAGCAGAACTTACTTTCAAGCCTGGCCTGAGGATCCCTTGAGGTCATGTGAGGATCTTACATCTGGAAAGCATTATCTGGCGCCAGATGGAAGGTAGTTATTTTTGGAGACTTAACAAGGTCTCGGGGGGCTGCCACTTTTCTTCTTGCTTTCTCTTCCTTAAATGCTTTTTAATCATAAAAAAAAAAGAAAGGCCCCGTCATAATTAAGGTGGAGAAGGCGACAGCATGCTTGGCTGGAAAGAGCATGATTCTTTTGGACTTAATTCCTTATCTGCCGCTAATTGTGTGATCTTGGGCACATGTCTTTTTTTTTTAAACATTGTATTTTGTATTGGGGTATAGCTAATTAATGGGCTTCCCTGGTGTCTCAGAGGGTCAAGAATCTGCCAGCAGTGTGGGAGACTTGTGTTCGATCCCTGGGTTGGGAAGATTTCCTGGAGAAGGGAATGGCAACCCACTCCAGTGTGGTTGCCTGCAGATTCTGTGAACGGAGTCTGCAGTCCACCGGGTCACAGAGTCGGGCGCGCTAAGTTCCACTTCACTTTCAGAGCTGATTGACAATGCTGTGATAGTTCTGGGTGAGTAGCGAAGGGACTCAACCATACATAGACAGGTAACCATTCTCCCCCAAACTCCCCTCTGACCCAGGCCTCCATGTAACACTGAGCGGACCTTTATGTGCCGCACAGTCGGTCCTTGTTGGTTATCATTTTAAATATGTACACCAGTGTACACACGACCATCCCAAACTCCCCAACTATCCCTTCCCCCATTCTTCCCCCGGCAACCATAAGCTCGTTCTCAAAGTCTGTGAATCTCTGTTGTGTGAGTAAATTCATTTGTATCATTTCCTTTTAGAGTCCACATATAAGGGATGTCATATGATATTTCTCCTTCTCTGTCTAACTTACTTCACTCAGCATGACACTCTCTAGGTCTATCCATGTTCCTGCAAACTATTTCGTTCTTTTTCATGGCTGAGTAATATTCCACCACATATATGCACCACATCTTTTTTATCCGTTCCTCTGTCGATGGGTGTTTAGGTTGCTTCTGTGTCTTGGCTATTGTAAGCAGTGCTGCTGTGAACACTGGGGTACATGTATCCTTCTGAATTGAGGAAATCCATTATATTTCCTCATATAAATATGAATATCATATTTTTCTCTGGATGTATGTCCAGGAGTGGGATTGCAGGGTCACACGTAGCTCTGTTTTTAGTTTCTTAAGGAACTTCCATACTGTTCTCCATAGTGGCTTTACCAATTTATATTCCCACCAGCAGTGTAGGAGGGTCCCCTTCTCTCCACATCCTTTCCAGCATTTACTTGTGGATTTTTTGGTGATAGCCATTCTGGCTGGTATGAGATGATATCTCATTGTAGTTTTGATTTCCATGTCTCTGGTCCTAGCGACGTTAAGGATCTCTGCGTGTGCCTAGCTGGCCATCTGTCTATCTTCTTTGGAGAAATGTCTGTTTAGATGCTCTATCGGGCACATGTCTTAACCTCTCTAAGTCTCTGTGGGTTTAGCTGTGAAATGGGGAGAAAAATATTCACCTGATAGATAAGTTGGGGGTGAAAGGAGCCAGCTCTCAGAAAGTGCTCGCAAGGGACTGTGGTAGAGGTTAACTTCCTCCTTTCGCATCTAATAGGGTGCAGAGAGGGTCCGTATTGGAGGCTCTGTCTCTGGGCAGAGACAGGAGCGAGCCGGTGCACGGGTCTTGGTCTGCGTCGCAACTCTGCTCATGACCGTGGTGTAGCTTTTGAAAAGTGGTGTAACTGCTCTCAACCCCACTTTCCTCTAGAACAGGCCTAGCAGTATTGTTGTTGTCGTTGAGTTACTAAGTCGTATCTGACTCTTTGTGACCCCAAGGACTGCAGCACGCCAGCTCTTTTGTCCTCCACTGTCTCTCCAAGCTTGCTCAGACTCATGTCTGATGAGTCGGTGATGCCATCCAACCATCTCATCCTCTGTCGTCCCCTTCTCCTCCTGCCTTCAAGCTTTCCCAGCATCAGGGTCTTTACCAATGAGTCAGCTCTTTGCAGCAGGTGGCCAAATTATTAGAGCTTCTGCATCATTCCTTCCAATGAACACCCAGGACTGATTTCCTTTAGGATGGACTGGTTGGATCTCCTTGCAGTGCAAGGAACTCTGAAGAGTCTTCTCCAACACCGCAGTTCAAATGCATCAATTCTTCAGTGCTCAGCTTTCTTTGTAGTCCAACTCTCACATCTATACATGACTACTGAAAAAACCATAGCTTTGACTAAATCAATCTATGTTGGCAAAGTAATGTCTCAGCTTTTTAATATGCTGTCTAGGTTGGTCATAGCTTTCCTTCAAAGGAGCAAGTGTCTTCATGGCTGCAGTCACCATCCACAGTGATTTTGATTTTGTAATAACTTTGATTTTGACTGTATAAAAATCAAAGTTTTTTTTTTATTATACCTGCACAGTGTGTGACCTACAGTAAGTTTGTCTTCAGTAAATTTAAGTTTTTTCACCATTCTGTTCCCCAGTATATTTGTTAATGTATATATGTATGTATACACAGGTGGCCAAATTATTAGAGCTTCTGCATCATTCCTTCCAATGAACACCCAGGACTGATTTCCTTTAGGATGGACTGGTTGGATCTCCTTGCAGTGCAAGGAACTCTGAAGAGTCTTCTCCAACACCGCAGTTCAAATGCATCAATTCTTCAGTGCTCAGCTTTCTTTGTAGTCCAACTCTCACATCTATACATGACTACTGAAAAAACCATAGCTTTGACTAAATCAATCTATGTTGGCAAAGTAATGTCTCAGCTTTTTAATATGCTGTCTAGGTTGGTCATAGCTTTCCTTCAAAGGAGCAAGTGTCTTCATGGCTGCAGTCACCATCCACAGTGATTTTGATTTTGTAATAACTTTGATTTTGACTGTATAAAAATCAAAGTTTTTTTTTATTATACCTGCACAGTGTGTGACCTACAGTAAGTTTGTCTTCAGTAAATTTAAGTTTTTTCACCATTCTGTTCCCCAGTATATTTGTTAATGTATATATGTATGTATACTGGAGAGGGAAATGTCAACCCACTCCAGTATTCTTGCCTAGAGAATCCTGTGTACAGAGGATCCTGGTGGGCTGCTGTCCATAGGGTCGCACAGAGTCGGACACAACTAAAGCGACTTAGCATGCATGCATATGTATGTATACATATATATATATCACAAAGTCTGCTTTAGAGAATGTGGTCTGGAAATATCCTTGAAGGTGGATTAAAGTGCGTCCCAGATAATGGGGGTTTGGGGAAGTGAAAAGGTTTCCCTCTTTACGTGTCTGAGGAACACAGCCAGTGCCTCCTGCAGGATGGAGCCGAGTGCATCGCCTGTGAATGTCCTCTCGTGATACAAGTACACAAGACTTTTATCTTTGGGACTTTTGGACTGCTTCCAGCAAGTAGGTCACCCCTGGTAATTTGCAAGGACGGACGGTGTGAATCACAGATGGTCAGAGAGGCATTTGCAAGGTGCAGATGCAGTCACAAGACCAGGAGGTTTTCAAAATGTACTTTGCCCCGTGAAACTCCAGTGACTTCTCTCGCCTCCCAGTTATTACAGAAAGGAATTGACCCTTGGGTGTTGAGGCCTCACAGGCTGATTAAGCCAGGGTCTAGCAAATGATAAACCTTAGATTTTTGTCTAATTTGCAGTTGTCTGCATATTTTCCTTGGTCTTTTTGTTCAGCTGGCAGAGAGTACAAAGTTTTAGAGAGAACAGGACCTGCCTGAGAGATGGTGTCTGTTCTGATTGTATCCGCTTATATAACAAATCAGTCTGCCAGTTAGTGGGGTAGAATAACCTTTCTGTAATACTGATGGATTCTGTGGATTAGGAATTCAGGGTTCAGACAAGGGCCCAGTGGAGGTTTTTGTTTTTTTCTCTCGGGCCCTGCTGTGTGACTTACGGGATCTCGGTTCCCTGAGCAGGGGCTGAACCTGGGCCCCAGCAGTGAAAGCACTGAACCTGGGCCCCAGCAGTGAAAGCACTGAATCTTAACCACCAGACCACCAGGGAACACCCAGAAGTGGGTTATTTTTGCTGCACAGTTTCTGGGGTCTTGACTAGCCAGAGTCTGGAATCTCAGAGATTTTTAACTCAGGCGTCTGGGGCCTGAAGGAGACACCACGGTGTCTCAGAGGAGACTTGTATTTCACCTCCTTCTGTGGCTTGGGCTTCTCAGCACGCTGGACTCAGGGTCATTGGTTTGGTAGAGCTCAGGGCTCCAGGGCAGGCCCGGCAGCTGTGGGAGTCACACCGCCCGTCATTTGTACTGTGAGCTGTTGCCGAAGCAGTCATGAGCCGGCCTGATCCAGGAAAGTCTCACCGCCCATCATTTGTACTGTGAGCTGTTGCCGAAGCAGTCATGAGCCTGCCTGATCCAGGAGAGGACCACACAGATGCCCCCCTCAGTGAGGAGACTGACGGGTTTGTGCCGTGACCACGGGACCCATCACTGACTATTTTCTTGGTCTGGCTGAGCTGGGTCTCAGCCGCAGCACGCAGAGTCCTTCACTGTGGCACACGGGCCCTTCGTTTTGGTGTGCAGGCTTCCCTCAGCACCTGCTGCACAACAGGCTGAGTTTCCTTGTGGCCTGTGGGATCTTAGTTCCCCAACCAGGGATCAAACCCATGTCCCCAGCATTGGAAGGCAGATCCTTAACCACTGGACCACCAGGGAAGTCCTAACAATACATTTCAGAAAGTAACATACAATAAGTGGGCATTCAGGATGTATCAGCTGCAAATTTAGCATGGTGATTAAAGAAAGAAAAATGTTTGGAACGGTTCCCTTGGTCAGCAGCATTTCTTGAGCACTCCTTGGAGAAAAGGTCTTTCCAGGGAGCCTTGGTTAGAGAAAAGAAGGCCTGTGATGTCGGTCAGAGGTTGCTGAGCCGGTCTCATGGAATGGTGAGGGGATTCCACACCTCCACCTGACACGGGCTGGACACACATGGGCCTGGGAGAAGATGAGCATGGTCCTTGCACCCTCACCTGGTCCGGGAGATGGGGTTCGGATCTGAGAGATGCTGGGGTCAGACCTCAGTCTTGCCTCTTTCTGCTGTTACGGCCTTGACTGACATCCTCAGTTACGTCGAGCTGCAGTGTTCTCATGCATAAAAAGGGTAGCAATGGGGCCATCACAGCCATCCAGGGAAGGGCCTTGTCTCTGGGACAGGTGTAAGTTAAATCGGGTTTAGTTCTTAAATACATTATTGTGCGGGGTAATGTCTGTCTCTTTAGAACAACCTGAACACACAAACAGCGCTTGGCTATTTCGATTCGGCACTTAGGTTTCCTGCTCGCCCTGCCCTTCCCAGTCGTTGGTTATCTGGCAGATGCACAAAAGGGAGTGAACTGCATGTGCCTGCGACCTGTGTGTCTACTCCTGCCCTGCAAATAGGTGCCTCTATGCCCGTTTTTAGATTGCACATATATGCGTAGACTTGGATTACCGTGATATTGAATGGTTTGCTTTGGAAACGAACAGAGGTCATTCTGTCATTTCTGAGATTGCATCCGAGTACTGCATTTCAGACTCTTGTTGACTACGATGGCCTCTCTATTTCTTCTGAGGGATTCCTGCCCACAGTAGTAGATATAATGGTCATCTGAGTTAAAGTCACCCGTTCCAGCCTATTTTAGTTCGCTGATTCCTAGAATGTCGAGGTTCACTCTTGCCATCTCCTGTTTGACCCTTCCAATTTGCCTTGATTCATGGACCTAACGTTCCAGGATCCTACGCAAAATTATTTTTTACAGCGTCGGACTTCACTTCCATCACCCGTCACATCCACAACTGGGTGTTGTTTTTGCTTTGGCTCCATCTCTTCATTCTTCATGGAGTTATTTCTCCACTATCTCCAATAGCATATTGGGCACCTCCCAACCTGGGCAGTTCATCTTTCAGTGTCCTATCTTTTTGCCTTTTCATACTGTTCATGGGGTTCTCAAGGCAAGAATGCTGAGGTGGTTTGCCTTTCCCTTCTCCCCATTTTGTCAGAACTCTCCACCATGTCTCGTCCATCTTCCGTGGCCTTACACGGCATGGCTCATAGTTTCATTGACTTAGAGGAGGCTGTGGTCCATGTGATCAGATTGGTTAGTTTTCTGTGATTGTAGTTTTCATTCTGTCTGCCCTCTGATGGAGAAGGATAAGAGGCTTATGGAAGCTTCCTGATGGGACAGACTGGGGGGGGAAACTGGGTCTTGTTCTGACGGGTGGGGCCTTGCTCAGTAAATCTTTAATCCAATTTTCTGTTGATGGGCGGGGCTGTTTCCCTGGGGCCAGACTATGGTGGAGGTAATGAGGATGACAACGACTTCCTTCAAAAGGTCCCATGCACACGCTGCTACACTCGGTACTCCCGACCCTGCAGCAGGCCACCGCTGACCCATGCCTCCACCGGAGACTCCTGGACACTCACGGGCAAGTCTAGGTCAGTCTCTTGCGGGGTCACTGCTCCTTTCACCTGGGTCCTGGTGCACAAGGTTCTGTTTGTGCTGAACTGGATGAAGCACAAGCTGGAATCAAGATTGCTGGGAGAAATATCAATAAAATTGGAAGGACTGATGCTGAAGCTGAAACTCCAATATTTTGGCCACCTGATGTGAAGAGCTGACTCATTGGAAAAGACCCTGATGCTGGGAGGGACTGGGGGCAGGAGGAGACGGGGAGGACAGAGGATGAGATGGTTGGACGCCGGTTCGACCCCTGGTCTGGGAGACCCCATGTGCCGCGGGGCAGCTGACCCGTGCGCCAGGACTCCTGAGCCTGCGCTCTCGAGCCCCGTGCACAACTGCTAATGCCCCTGCGTCTAGAGTTGGTGCTGCACAAACAGAGATGCCACCGCCGTGCGAAGCCTGCACACACCGGCGGAGACCCAGTGCAACCAGAAATATGAGTAAATATAAAAAGAGAGAACGCGTTTCTTTCCCCTGCTTTCTTTGCCAGTTGCAGAGCCGTGATCAGGTTTTCTTTTTTTGAAAGAAGTGGATTATTCACTGGAGGAAGGGGCTGCTGGAAGCTGCATTGTGAATTGACTTCCATTGCCTCTCAGGGGCTAAGACCCTCCTGTGTGGCATCTTGTGAGGTTTCTGTTTGTGGACTGTGGCTGTGTTGGCGCGCCCGTCGCTGTGGAGGGCAGGCCGGTGGACGTGGAGGCTTCGAGGGCTCTTGGATGCGAGCCACCCCCGCCGGGGCTGGGCCCGGGGCAGCTGGTGCCTGTGCAGACGGAGCCGAGGCTGAACTTAGCGCGCGGGCGGCAGAGCCCAAGGGGAATGAGGCGTGGCTCCAAGTGCTTCCTTTCCTTCTGTTCATCTGGCTACACCGGGTCTCAGCCGCAGCGTCTGGGAGCAGCTTCAGCTGTGTCATGGAGACGCTTGGTGTCAGCCCGTGGGCTCTAGTTCCCCGACCAGGGATTGAACCCAGGCCCCCCGCGCTGGGAGCAGGGGGTCCTGAGCGCTGGACCTCCAGGGAGGCCCCTGGGACTTTCCCCTACACACCTGGCACAGTCAGGGGCCGCAGAGAGGAGCGGGTCCCGGGCGTCTGGGGCGGGCAGCTGGTGAGAGGCGTTTCCCGGAACGCGGGTCCAGGGGCACTGGGCGGCTCCCGGCCGGGGCGGTCATCGCCTCGGTTCATCTCCGTTTCCTTTTCTTCCCTTCACTCTTCACTGTTCCTCGCCCTCCAGGTTTGTTCTCTCCCTTTCACTTTTCCTCTTTCCTTTCTCCCTGCCTCTCCGCCTCACCCATTGTGTTCCTACTTCCGGAGCAGCTGAGGACCTGCCTGGTGTCCTGACCCTTCCCTCTGATGCTCGCTTACTTCCCTGGCTCTTCGTGACTCGCCGGGACCCTCCGTCCGAGGTGGACGGTGTCTTCTTCCCTGGGAGCAGTGAAGACGCAGCCTCGCGGACGGCTGTTGGCACGCCTTTCTCTGACTGCGGGCGGGGTGCCCTCTGGGGTCGCTCTGCCTCAGAAGGCTTGCCCGGCATCACCGTCTCCTTCCACGAGCCCCGACGCCGGGCGGGGAGCTCTGCTGAGCGTTTCCTCTTGTTCGCGGCCAGGTTCTCCCTCCTGACGCCAAGGCTGTGGTCTCTCTACTTACAGATCGAGGAGACGCGAGTCAACATTGACAAGATCTCCGAACACGTGGAGGAAGCGAAGAGGCTCTACAGTGTCATCCTGTCTGCGCCCATCCCCGAGCCAAGTGAGTGCCGGCTGGGCCTCGGCGTCCCTCTGTGAGCAGCAGGGGAGGGCTGCGTGCCGTGTCATCGCCCACCCTCCTCTACGCTCTCCTGCTCACACTGCCCGGCTACTGTCACCTTAAAAAAAAATTTTTTTTTAACATCTATTTATTTATTAGGCTGCGCCAGCTCTTGGTTGCAGCACGCGGGATCTTTGCTGTTTCTGCAGCATGCAGACTCTTTAGCTGGGGCCTGGAGGATCTGGTTCCCTGACCAGGGGTCGAACCCGGGCCCCCTGCATTGGGAACGTGCAGTCTTAGCCACTGGATCCCCAGGGACGCCCCCATCACCTCTGCTTTCCACGGCCCCACTTGGCCGGGCCTTCTGCTCCTTGCCGAGTCCCTCTCGTGACTGGCGGGGACTCTCACTGCTGCCGGCACACCGCGTCCCTGCCCTCGGCACCTGTGCTGTTTCCTCTGCCTGAAACGCTTCCCCAGTCCCTCCTTTTTTTCCACGAGGTGTTTTTATTCTGTAGGTCGAGGGCAGGGTGCCTGGAAAAATGCCTTTAAACAATAAGCTTCCTGCATTCTAATGACGGATGTCTTGGGGAGCCCCGGGGATACGTACTGCCCTGGGCGCCTGAGAAAGCGCCGCACCTCCTCCGGCAATTGTTGTAGCTGATGAAGCCTCAGTCTTCTGACTGATTCTGCTGGCCTTTGTTTACCCAGAAACCAAGGACGACCTGGAGCAGCTCACTGCCGAGATCAAGAAGAGGGCGAACAATGTCCGGAACAAGCTGAAGAGTAAGCGGACTAAGCGCGGGCAGCCCCCCAGCGTCTCACGCCTGGGGCCCGGCCCTCCTGGAGCAGAACTTCCTCAGGGGGTGACACTGCGCATGGCATGTCTGCTTGTGATCTGGGCTCTGTCTCTGGAATGACGGATAGCCCCAGAACTTTGTGGCTGAGGGAGGCGAGGATTGAAGCTTGGGGACGGGAATGGAAGTGTGCTTTCAGCTGGCGAATGTCTGGTGGCTCGGGTCCCTTAACGCGGTCCCTCGCCTTTTCCTCTCCCGTTTCCTCTCCCAGCACCTGCGTGCGTGGGAACAGATGTTAGTGATACGAAGTCTGCGGGCATCTCCCGGGGACCAGGTGCACCTCCCGTCACGCCCACCCCCACCCCTGAGTTAGGCCAGTGTCCCGTGAAGCCCTGTCATAGATTCAGTGCGTCTGCGAGCCCGGAAGCTTCCTTAGGCCTGTGGCTGTTATCTGCATCTTGCCCCACTCACTGGTGATGAGTGCGTGCTGCTGGTCAGGGAAGGAAAGCGGTGTTGCCGAGCCTGAGGTGTCACTTCTTCGCCCGCGTGGGTCCGCACTGCCTTTTTCCGGGCGGTGGGTGGAGGTTTGCGGCGGCCGCTTCCGTCCGGCAGTGAGCCCGGCTGCGCGCTCGCGTTGATTTCTCCTTGGCGTTGCGAGGGGGCCCCGCTGCGCTCCCAGTTCACAGCCCAGAGAACGGAGATCGGGAGCTCTGAGGGCACGCGGCCTTTCCGGGGCACACGGATGCGGCAGGGCGGGGATTTGAGCCGGGTCTCTCGGGGACGGGGAGACTCGTGCCGGTAACTGCTGCGCTGGGCCGTGGCTGAGGGGGACCCTGGGCCGAAGGTCGTGGCGCGCGTGTCCTGGGCCCAGACGGGAGCCGGCCTTTGAGACAGGACCTACCTGCTGCTGGTCTCCCGTGCCGGCGTGTGTGAGAGCGGGGCTGCATCGCACGGTGTTTCTTGGCGGAGAGCAGGGGCCGCGTTGCTGGAACAACCTTCTCTCCCACCCAGGCATGGAGCAGCATATCGAGGGGGACGAGGTGCGGTCGTCGGCAGACCTTCGGATCCGCAAATCCCAGGTGAGATTCTCCTTGGCCTAACAACCGTCTATTCCAGTCTTTTAATTTTTCTTTCCTTAGCTGTGGAGTCTTTTTTATTTTTTAAAAATATTTATTGAAGTAGAATTGATTTACAATATGGTGTTAGGTTCAGATATACAGCAAAGTGATTCAGTTATGACACATACACACATATGTATATTTCTTTTTCAGATCCTTTTCCATTGTAAGTTATCTCAAGATATTGAGTATAGTTCCTTGTGCTATGCAGTAAACCCTGTTTTATGTATAGTAGTGTGTGTCTGCTAACCCTATACTCCTAATTTATTCCCCCACCTCCCCTCTGCTAACTGTAAGTTTGTTGTCTCTCTGTTTTGTAAATAAATTCATTTGTATTAGTTTTTAGATTCCACATACTTAATACCAGTGATGTTATATGACATTTGTCTTTGACTTACTGCATTTAAGTGAGATACTCTTTAGATACATCCACGTTGCTGTGAGTGGCAATATTTCATTTTTTTTTTCATGGCAGAGTATTATTCCATTGCATATACATGTCACATCTTCTTTATCCAGTCATCTGTTGATGGACACAGATTGCTTCCATCTCTTGGCTGTTGTGAATAGTGCTGCGGTGAACACTGGGGTCTTGTATCTTTTCTAATTAGAGTTTTCATCTTTTCTGGATCTGTGCCCAGGAGGGGGATTGCTGGATCATATGGTAGCTCTATTTTTAGTTTTTTAAGGAACCTCCATCCTCTTCTCCATAGTGACACCAATTTACATTCCCACCAACAGTGTAGGAGAGTTAGTTCCTTTTTCTGGCTGTGGATCTTTAAAAACAACCAACCAACCAAACCTTATTTGGCACTCAGTGTGAAGAACTGGTGGAGGGGAGCTGCCCAGGTCGAAGTGGGGGACAGAGCTGAGAGCACATGTCCTTTCAGGAGGCGCCCGAGGCTCCCAGAGCACGGGTGAGGGTGTAGTGGGCCTCCTTGGCTTACAGGAGAGGAAACCGAAGTCTTCTTTCTGCAGACTGTTGGTCGTCAGTTGTCCAGCTTGGAGTCAGGCTGTTTGGTGGTCATCAAAGATATGATCCTCCTCCCTGAAGAACAAGCATGATGTTCCATTATCACAAGGAAGCTATGACATAGGACCCGCAGGAGAGAGGGTAGGAAGACGGGATCAGTCCTTGTGCTCCCAGCATCGGAAGAGCCTGGAAAGACTGAGGTGCCCAGAGGAGGCTGGGCCTTGGATGGGCAGGATGCCGACATGGGCAGGCTCAGGGAGAGGTTGTCCTTGGGGGTATGGGGGCAGGAGTGGTGTGTGTAGAGTCGGGTGGTGTAGGGTGGGTAGGGGCAGACATGAAGAGAACACTGTCTAGAGACAAAAGTTTGTCACAGGATAGTGGGCGTTCAGTTTTTGGTGGAGAACCCAGTGCCATATCCAGACCACTTTGTGGTCTCGCGAGTTTGGATCTGATCAACTAGCTGGTATGCATTTACTTTGGGTTACAGTCTGTTAGGATAACCTGGTGGCCATTTGAAAACTGGATCAGCCTGGGCAAAAGACGAGAGGTGGGTGGGTCTCTCATTGGGTTTTTGTAATGATTTTGGTCTGAATTTGCCTGATGATGGTGGGTTTAAACAAGTGTAGATATTGGTGATTTGGCAAAGGAAAAACGTTTGTTGGGGCTTGATGCTGAGACGTGGGCAAGGAATAAAAGTGATGATTTGCGTTTAGGCACCAGGGCTGTTGATGGAATGCATTGAGTCAGAAGCAAGAAAATTTGAAGCAGGAAACGCTGGGCGATCAGTTTGAGTAAGAACACAAGGGTCTTTGGATGTGGAGGGGAGCTGGGCAGGGCCTCTGGGATTCCCAGAGTATCTCCGTTGGCCTCAGCTGCTCTGTGAGTTCAGCGAGACAGGTTAACAGATACTGAAAAGGTGCTTTGAAAAAGTGAGCTGGCTTTCCCAGTGGTGTGAAGTCAGGAAGCCAAAAAAACTGAGTCTTGCACCTGGTCTTTGGTTTTTTCTTTTGTTTTTCTTTTTAATTTCTTTTACAATTTTGAAAGGTTACTTTCCAGTTACAGTTATTACACCATCTTGGCTGTATCCCCCTGTTGGAAAATGCATCCTCAAGCTACCTGACACCAGGACTGTGTGGCTCCCTCTCCCCCACCCGTCTGTCCCCGCTGCACCTTCCCACTGGGCACCGCAGTCTATTCCCTGTATCTGTGAGCCTGCTTCCTTTCTGTTAGATTCATAGTTTGTTGTAGTTTTTAGATTCCACATATAAGGTGGAAGATGTTATATAGTATTTGTCTTTCTCTGACTTATTTCACTTGGCATAATACCCTCTAGATCAATCTAGGTTGTCACAAATGGCAAGATTCCAGTTTTTAATTACTGGGTAGTATTCATTGTCCATGTATGTATAGGAAGGTGTGTGTCACATCTTCTTTATCCAGTCCTTTGTTGGCGGACACTCGGGGGGATTCCACCTCCCAGCAGTTGTAAATAATTTAGCTCTTGTGATCACTGGGGTGCGTGTATCATTTTGAATTAGTTTATGTAGATATAGATGTATACACCCAGAAGTGGACTTGTTGGGTGAAATGGCAGCTCTGTTTTTAGGTTTTTTGAGAAGTCTCCATACCGTTTCGCAGCGCTGCACCAGTCTGCCGTCCCACCAGGAGCTGCCCTTGGCCGTCCTGTCCCAGCTCTGGAGCTGCCGTGGGCGAGGCTGGGGCCGGGGCTCTGAGCCTGCGCCCCCTTTGCCTCCTGGGAGCTCATGGCCTTGACCTTGTCCCCGCAGCACTCTGTCCTGTCCCGGAAGTTTGTGGAGGTGATGACCAAGTACAACGAGGCCCAGGTGGACTTCCGTGAGCGCAGCAAAGGGCGGATCCAGCGGCAGCTCGAGATCAGTGCGTGTTTGAAGCGTGTTCTGTGCCCCTCTTCTGACCTGTCAGGCGCTGGTCTGTCCGGTGGTCAGGCCCAGGGAGACGGGGCCTCCAGGTGGTTTCTGCCTTCCCTTTTGCACCCCAGCCGAGGACGGGGCTCATGGCACTGCTGCTGCCCGGATGTCGTGTCTTAGGCTGAAAGCAGGTGGCTCAGCGGTACCAGGTCCAAGTCGTTGGTTGCTATGGGAACCAGCATTTCCACATCCATGGAGGGAAATACCTGCTACACAGCCCTGCTCCCTGGGGCTCATGGCATCTTTGCTGCCTGTTTGACAGCAGAGAACGGTGCAGGTTGCCCCGTCTGCATAAAGGAGTTAATGCAGCCTCGCCCTTTAGGAATAAGTAACTTTAGGAGTTGGCAAGAATCAGGGCCTTGCAGGGCGGAACGTGCTCTGAGTGCAGGAACTGAATGAGCACGGTTGCAGGCAGGGAAGGCAGGCCGGCCAGGGCCTGGGAACAGGGCGCGCTTGGGCGGAGCAGGGTGGGGGTGAGACGGTGGGAGGGAGGGCTGCTTGTCCTGTGGGCCCCGTGGCGGAGTGAAGGGGCCAGGAGACGTTCTGAGATGGAAAGGAGTATAATCAGACACGGGCTTCGGGAGGGTAATTGCTGATAAGGTCGAGGCTGGATTGGGGTAGGGGAGACATCGAGAAAGGCGAGCAGGCTTGTAAAGGCCACAGTCTTTAGAGTGAAACTTACTGCACTTCCCCTGGGATTTCCAGGTGGTTCAGTGGTAAAGACTCGCCTGCCAATGCAGGAAACACAGGGGGTGTGGGTTCGATCCCTGGGTTGGGGAGATCCACTGGAGGAGGAACTGGAAACCCACTCCAATATTCTTGCCTGGAAAGTCCCATGGACAGAAGCCTGGCGGGCTACAGTCCGCAGGGTTGCAAAGAGTCGGATGCGACCGAGCGCCTGGATACGGCCGTTTTCAGGGAACTTTTGAAATGATGAGCTTTGATCTTCTATCTGAGGCTCTCCTTCTTTTGTTATAAAGCCGGCAAAAAGACCACCGACGAGGAGCTGGAGGAGATGCTGGAGAGTGGGAACCCTGCCATCTTCACCTCGGGGGTGAGTGATGGTGTGGGGTCGGGGGGTGGGAGCCCCGCAAGGGTGCCTGGGGGGCTGTGGCAGGCCTGCGGGCCGATGGTCCATCTCTCTGTGGCCTGCCTTAGATCATCGACTCCCAGATTTCCAAGCAAGCCCTCAGCGAGATCGAGGGCCGGCACAAGGACATCGTGAGGCTGGAGAGCAGCATCAAGGAGCTCCACGACATGTTCATGGACATCGCCATGCTGGTGGAGAACCAGGTGAGGCCGTGGGCGCCGCGGGGGCGGGGCGGGGGCGTGGCCTGAGGCTTCCCGAGGAGGGCCGGAGGCGAGTGTGGAGGGAGCAGCATTGGGAATCGGTGTAGTGGAGTCCCAGAATCCCAGTGTCCCGGTGCAGGAGGGCACCTGGGATGCTGGCGCTAGGAGAGCTGTAGCCTCGTTACCCTGGCCTGGAAGTCATGTCTAATTAACGTGAGGTTTGGTGTGTTCCGTAACGTACCTGTTCGCTCCGGCCTTGGGATCATCATCATCGTTATTTTTTATTAGCACACGGGTTCTTAATGGTGATGCCTTAAAACAGTCTCCTGATAGGAGCTGGTTTCACTGGTGACACTGCAAACATAGGGTCTTTCCCCCAGATCATGGTGAAAAGTTAGGTGAGATGGAGATTTTTATGTTTTTCCATTTTTGCTTTTTCTTCTATATGAGTTTTTCCAAAAATGTTGACTTTTTTTTTTTGGCTGAGGAACAACAAGAGCAATGAAGGGACAGCAAAAGTAACATTAGTGGGGAAACTGGAGTCCGTCTCGGCGCTCAGCCTGACACCTGCTGTGTTCCGGGCCAGCCTGCCCAGGGACGGACGGCTCTGTTCCCTGCCTGTGGCATCACCGTCACACGTCACGTGGCCCCTGCTTCTTAGCGTGCAGTTAAATTCAGTGACGTGTCACGGCTGGGGGCCACTCTCACCATGAGCCCACAGTGGCTCTGCCGCCTGGAAAGGATCCGAACCTGCTCCCTGTGGAGCAGGAACCCTAACGGAGCCCGAGCACGGCCTGGCTGGTTCTGACACCAGTTTCCTGCTCCGGGCTGGGGCACCTCTGCTCCACCCCCTTCCGCCCTTGGAGACCATTCCTCCTGTCCCCCCATCCGCACTCTTGTCTTTTTTCCCCACACTGCCTTGCCGAGGAACTGGTTTGAGATTCAAGTGATGGTAAGTGCCGTTCTCTCTGCCAGAAAGCCAGGGGTTGCATGGAATGAAGGTCTAGGTGGGTGGAGGGAATTCCCGTCTTAAGATGCACAGAAGTCAATTGGAAAGACTGAACTTCCTGTCAGGAAGTAACAGCTGGGGAAAGGTCTGGAATCTTACCAAGAGACCATGACCTCTTAACCAGATAACTCAGGTAAAACCAATGTCTTGTTACTTACAGGGCCTGGGGATACCTTAGAGAAAGCATCCATCCCCACCTCAGCTGTTAGTAAACACCCGTCGTGCACCAGGCACTTTCTGTAGTAGCGGGCACTCGGTTCAGGCTGAATGAACTTGGCTCAGATCTGAGTGACCAGGAAGAGGCCAGCCTCCTGGCAACATGAGATGTATTCTGGCTTCTCGTCTCACACGTTTCATTTTTTAAAAAAAGGGGAGGGGGACCTTTCAGGATACTCCAGGCATCTAGACCATGTGCTCCTGGCATGCAGGGCGCGGTCTCTCACAGAGTGAGTGAGTGGGTATCTCGGGGCCGGGTGACCGCCGCCTCGGCCCGGGGAAGGACAGGCAGTCACGGGGAGCTGTGCGGGGTTGCCCCGTGGAAGGCTGCATGGGCAGGGTTCCGGGCACTCCCCGTGGCGCTTGGACTGTCCCGGGGCGCATGTCCAGGGCGTGACCGGAGCCTGTCCTCCGCAGGGGGAGATGTTAGATAACATAGAGCTGAATGTCATGCACACGGTGGACCATGTGGAGAAAGCTCGGGAGGAGACCAAAAGAGCCGTGAAGTACCAGGGTCAGGCCCGGAAGGTGAGCCCCCTCGCTGCCCCCGGAGGACAGGGTCCATCGTGTGAGCTCTCTCGCTGTCTCCTCCCTCTCCCCGTCTCTGTCTCTGCCGCCGCCACCTCTGGCATCCCGGGAAAGGGCGCCATGATTGACCGTATTGAGAACAACATGGACCAGTCCGTGGGCTTCGTGGAGCGGGCCGTGGCAGACACCAAAAAGGCGGTCAAGTATCAGAGTGAAGCTCGCAGGGTGAGCCCTGCGTCTCGGCGGGACCGGCCAGCTTCTCCTCTCCCTGGTCGCCCCCATCCATGTCCCAGAGATTCCCCCCCCACCTTCCCTTTGTCCGGCCTCCTCCAAAAGCCTTCCTCAGCTCTCCCTAGAGAGTAGCTCCCGTCCCCTCCCCGGCATGTCCTGCATGGATCTGGCTCCCACTGTCTCCACTCAGGAGCTCACACTGGCAGGCAGCTCTGTGGGGTGGACCTGTCACTGCCCAGCGTGGCTGTTGGTCCGCTGGACGGAGCTCGTGGTCCGTCACGTTACACGTGGCTCCTCCTCACTGCCTTCCACTCTGATAGCCCACACCTGTCCTCTTTCATCTCTTTTCCCTGCTGTGAACCCAGGTATGTGCTGATGGCTACATGAATGCTGTCTCTCAGGACACACCTGTGTTTTCTACTTGATAGATCAAACAGTTGAGAATCACTGAAGTCCCTGGCCACCTAGAAAGCGTAGGAACCTGGGATTCAAATTCAGGGTCCAGCCCAGCTCTTTCCATCACATCATCCTTCCCCACCGCCTGCTCCCACCTCCAGTTCTGGTGCCCCTGTTGCTTGGAGCATCTCTGCCGGCGTTTGCTTTTTAGCCTGCTCTTTTCTGACTTTGCACTCTGATATTTTCATTCTTCAGTTCTTTTTCCTTCTAACTTTACCTGTTGCTTGGGCAGGGGTCTAGGGAGCTGGGGAGTTATTTCACATGATGAGTCCTGTCCTGTTCACAACAGGACCTGCACTTTCAGACCCTCAGTCACTGTCCTGGGTTTGACAGGTGGGAGTGTTCTTTGGGGGAGAGATGGATGGGAGTTTGCATTCAGGAGGACTGTGTCAGAAACGTCTTCATACTCCCCCTTGAGAAGGAAGAACTCAGTCACGTTGTATCTTGGCGTATTGCCGCTTAGAGGCCCCGTGACAGTTGGGTCGCGTCTGTCCACACGAGGGCTGTAGTGTGAGCCTGGAGCTGATGGAGGCTCTGATTTCCGTCTGCTGGCACTGCCAGAGCAGAGGCTACTTAGGAGACAAGATGTTCCAGTGCAGCGTCTTTATGTGGCGATGTCAGCTTTTCATTTCACTCTATGTGGGTCGATGAGATGCTTCTGGTGCAGAGGTGGGTTTTGGATGGCTGACTGCGGCTTTTTGGTGGTTTGTAATAATGACTTGTTTTTATTTCTCTTATCCCTCTCTCCAGAAATTGCTAATTATCATTATGGTAGTAGTTGTGTTGCTGGGCATTTTAGCGTTGGTTATCGGACTTGCCGTTGGGCTGAAGTGATGGCCCGGAGGCGGCCGTGCTGACATGTAAGTAAAGGGAAGGCTCTCGGGGCTCTGGGCCGGCTCGCTCTTGAGAACCTAGCCTGGGATTCTGGTTCCGCTTCTCCTCCCCGGCTGTCCGCGGACACGCTGAGTGCTCCAGGCTGTCAGCCCTGTGCCTCCTCTGACCTCCGTCTCGTCCTGCTCTCGGGTCCTGGCTGCAGCCGGGCTTGGGTTCTCGTTGGTTTGTACCCCGAGGGGTCTGGCCCTGCTCTCGCTCCTGTGTCCATGTGTTCTTCATTTTCCGAGCACCTCATCTTCACGTCCCATCCCAAGCAAGCCTGCTCCTCAGCTGGGCGTGGTCTCCAGCTGGGATCTGGGGTGTGTCCTCGGAGTTCTTGCTGTCTTTCAGGGCTGTTGGGCTTTGCCTTCCCTTTCCTTTCCTTGTAAATGGAGCTTTGAATCGGGATTCGTGACTGTAGGGTTTTGTTAGTGGCTGACTGGCTGTATCTCGAATGATACAGTAGCTACGATTTTTGAGTGTGCAGTTGTGCCAACACCTGATACAGGCATCATTGACTCCTCACACCACCTTCAGGAGACAGGCGCTGTTATCATCTCTGTTTTATAAATGAAGATGCTCAGGCTTAGAGAAGTTAAGTAACAGGGCCAAGTTTGAGCACACAGCTGATAGTGGACCTAGGGGAATTCTTTCTATGTCTGAGCTACTCTTTGTAAAACAAGGTGGCCATTTATCATCGTCTGCAAAGTCTAGAGAGCCTTAGAGGATGGTGACTTTAAAATTCAGGATATTAGTTTGTAAAAAGTCTGGTAAAAACAATAGAGCTGAGCACTGAATCAGGGTTTCACGTATGTGGCAGCAGCATGACCAGAGTGATCTGGTTACTGGGCTGTGAAGGCTTCTGTGACCTTTGAAGTGTTTTTCTGAATAAAACATAGCATTATGTATGGTTAAAAAAAAAGACCAATAAGCACTGAAAAGGTGAACAGAATTAACTTTCAGTATTATTGCTGATAACCTTGTGGCACGTTCACACACTCGGATGTGGTTTTATAGCATTCAGACTATGTTGTCAACAGGTTGGTACCCAGTTACAAGGTCACAAGCATCATTTCACAACACTCAAATCTCTCTGGGAATCTCATGTTCAACACAAGATTGTGAATATACTCTCAATTATTTAACACGTTCCCAATGTTGGAGGTTTGCTATTATTGTTTTGCTATGACTAACAGTATGATTAACTTTTATAATGTTTTTCTCCTTTTTACAAATTCATAGAAGGTGGGTTACTGAGGTAACAGATACATAGATGTGATACCAAAGCTGACCCTTCACTTTTTGCCTCAGTTTGCCTTTTCTTCCTTCCTCCTTCTCCCATGTGACTAGAGGGTCTCAAAGTCAGATTATTATTTTTAACCCTAAATAGTCAACTTCTTGAGACATACATCCATTAGGTGGCTGATCTCTCATAAGTAATTAATTGATTTGCTTTTTTTCCCCTCCTGGTACGTGGACTCTAGTCCTTGACATTTTTTTGTTTGTAGAATTTTGTTCTCTTAACAGTCCCCTTGGAAAGGATATTAAGAAAAGGTATAATAGTCAGTATCTCTCCATATCCATGGATGAAAGATGTCTTCCAAATTCACAGGGCCCCTCACCATTCCTAAGTCCAGGCATTCAGAATGTAGATCATTTTGTAAAATGAGGCTGCTGATCAATCCACTGTTTTTAGCCGACTTACCAACTTCTAAGATGCTAAGTTGCTGAGCCCTTGATGGGTCGCTTTCTTATTCCCTGACCGCATCCGGACAGGCTGGCAGGCAGGCCTGGACTTGTCTCCTGTGCATGACCCGAGGGGGTCAGACCTCTGAACTGAAGACACCCTACATTTGTGCCCCCAGTAGCGCTCTAGGATAACGGCATCACTCCCATTTTCAGGGAAGCTCGGTGCAGCTCAGGGAAATTAGGAACTTGCCCAAAGCCTGCTCAGCTCGCAAGGTAGAGCGGCCGTAACAGGACTCTGGACTTTCCCGTGTCCTGTTCTCTGTGCCTTTCTGCTTCTGAGCCAGGCTGGGCGGGCGCGGAGCGGGTGAGAAGTCTCCAGTACCAGCAAGCCTCTGAGCTTGCATTCGGAAGGAACTGACGGGGGCCCGGCACACAGCACGGCTGTCTTCCTCCAGCGACGGTGCCTCTCCACCCACATGTCCGTCCACGGAGCTGACAGCCCCTGGGAAGGGCTGTAAGAGGCCCAGGGTTCCCCTTTTATTTCCCCTCTCTCTCTTGTAACAGGGCTTTTGGATCTTCCCAGGTGGCTCAGTGGTGAGGAATCCGCCTGCCAAGCAGGGGATGTGGGCTCAGTCCCTGGGTCAGGAAGATCCCCTGGAGAAGGAAATGGCAACTCACTCCAGTGTTCTCCCCTGGGAAACCCTGTGGACAGAGGAGCCTGGCGGGCAGTAGTTCGTGGGGACACAGCTGAGCGGCTCAATGAGAACAGGACGTTCGGTTCCTTGCATGCTGGCTGTTTACTTCAGGCCCTGTTGTGGGACGCCTGTCGGATGTGGTGGGTGCGTGTTGACTTTTCCACGATTCTGTGTGCAGCTCCTCTCTCCTCTCCGCCTTCCAGGTGTGGCCAAGTCTTACTGTCGCTCTTCACCGTCACCCTGGGTGCTGACCGACCAGCATCTCCTCCCCCTGCCTGTCGTAGAGCCCGATTTCACCCCAGCCTGGTGTGGCCACCACCCCCGTCTTCAGATGGGAGCGGAGTGTGAATGGCCTTCCTGAGAGAGTGAGCCCCATTCCTTTGTTTCCCTGTAACCACCCCTGGACCCGACCCGGCCAACCGTCCCGCCCGGGAGGAGCCTCAGCTCCCGATGCAGCCCGCGCCACCCCTCCTGCCCTCCAGCTCTGAAGCGCCTTCTCCTGGACTGCAGGAACCAAGCCAGCGTCTCTCCCCTCGACGTGTCGAACTGCGTCCTGTGCCGTGGAGAGCCTCGCTGCGCCCTCCCCAAGGCACTGTGCCGTCTACCTCACGAGTTCTCCCAGCTTTGTAATGGCTGGGTTTTTTTAAAAGTGGGCTATCTTTAACAAAACAAGGGGATTCTTCCAAGTTTGGCAACAATAAGACTTGGGCCTGAGTCTCCAGCCTGGCAGGATCCCAGTCATCCCAGCTTAGTGTCCTGCCTGAAGGCAGGAGGCGCTGGCAGAGGTTGCCGTGGTCTCGGAAGCCGACTTCTCTGAAATGCAGCCTGGAAATGAAGCTCTCAGTGGCTGAGCTCCGTGGCCGACTTCCACCTCTGTCTCTGCTGTCCTCATGTGGACTCAGGGAGGCACCACCTGAGCCTGTTGTCTGAGGTTGCTGTCTGTCCAGGCTGGGCTGTGGGGTCACCGTTCCCACGTCTGGGCCTGGGGAGCTGGCTGTTTACTGCTAGAGCGGTGGCTAAGAAGCCGCTGCAGGGAGGCCCAGAATAACCGGTCCTGTAAAATCAGCCAGGGCTGAGGTGCTTGACTGAGTCTCAGGCTCTGGGGAGCCTTCAGACGGGGGCAGCTGTGAGTATTCAGGCACTTCATGTGTTCCAGATGTATTTTTATAATCGTATGTGTGATACGTATGTGCATACATGCATGGGTCTCTCAGGAAGTAGGGAACTGTAAATGAGGATATTCGAACCTCAAGAGAATAACTTGAGCTAGGCCAAAAATCAGGTAAGAGACTTTCGCTTACCTGCAGCTGCATCATAAACGTGGTGAAACGTGATCTTCTCGGGTCATGGAGAAACTTGCTGTTTTCTGCACAAGCGCTCAGAGAACCCAGACGGCTGGGGTGGGCACCAGGCCGGTCCCCATGAGCAGACAGGAGGGACGAGCTCGACACCCCTCCCTGCTTGCTGCCTGGGCTAGGCTTGTCCTGAGAACATCCCATCGCAGTCCGCTATCGTTCGCGTGACCGTGGGGGTGTCCTGTGTCCACGACTAAGCCAGCTCGGGAAGCCGAGGTCCACTCAGCAGTTCTTCCTGCTCCCAGGTAGATTCCTTGTGGCCCCACTTGTCATGGAGGAAGCGACAGCCAGGAAATTTGTAAGCGTAGTTTCTGTGCCGAGCCAGTGTGAGCCCGAGACTCCCGGCTGGTCCCGTCCAGCCTCCCGATTCATACCTCAGCTTTGACTTTAGTGCTTTCTAGGACTGGGGAGCAGCCTGACACGGGCACCCCGCCTTCCTGTGCCAAGGCTACTCACTCAGCCAGCGCCCAGCACTCAGACGGAGCCGAGGGCCCCATCGCCTGTGGCTGTGATGTCTGACTCTGGCCAGGCTTCAGCAATGCAGGCAGCCAAGCGCCAATCACAGACCTGTGCTCTCCTGAGACTGAGGCCTGGGGCTTATCATTTGGATACAACAAGTGAAGGGTTTTTTGGTTCTTTTTTTAAAATGTAAACTGGATGATTTTAATTGCTAATTTAAAAATAAATGACTCTATATACTGATTGTGAAGCGGTTCTGGCTCCAGGTCCCTGTGAAACACTGAGTGATGGGCTGCCCCACGTGGTGACTTTTGTTTAGGTTTTGGAAACGGGTGAAAAAATTTTTTAACCGTGTGCTAGAGCAGGTGGATTGAAAGTTCTAATTTTTGACAGTGGTTTAACTCCCAAAGAGCGCACTGTAAAGATCCATGTATTTGGATCTTAAATTTCAAGGGACTGCCCCCAAAAGGCTTTGGTTTACTCACTGAGAATATCTGTGGCTCTGGGGGAGAGTGGGGTGAACCTGATTTGATGGTAGCTGCAAGGCAGAAGAGAATATGAAAATATGAGCTTGCTGTTGGTCAGATCTGTGAGTCACTCACTGAGAGGTGATGTGTCTCAGCATCCTGGGTTCTAGAAGCCAGATCCATCTCGCTTTCCCTTCATGTCCGCTTCCGTGCCGACCCATCCCTGTCTGCCTTCCTCTGAAACCCTCTCTGCAGTGACGTCATTTCTCACCTGCTTTTTCTTTCCTCATCTGGATGAACAGAAGAAGATCATGATCATGATCTGCTGTGTTATCCTTGCGATCATCTTAGCTTCTACTATTGGGGGCATATTTGCCTGAAAAAAACAAACAGGTGAGCCATCTCTGGGGGCCGGGGGTGGGGTGGGGGTCAGACCTGTTTTCACTTGAGATGCTCATGTCCTGAATGCTGTTTGTCACCCATTTGTCACCTGTTTGTCGTGCCTTAATCTGCATGGGATTGGGTGCTGGAGTTACGGTTGGAGAAAACCGAGAAACAGAGGGAAATGAGTGGAGGGAGCTGGTGGAGCACAGGTGGATGAGGAGACAGAAAGTGGCCATCTGTCCTGTAAGCAGGTCCGCCAGCAGGGGATTTTTTTGGGAATCCTTTGCCTAAGAGTGTTGGCTTCCTGTGGTGAAGGCTCTCCTGTAGTGAAGGCTTTGGCACATGGGAATGGTGGAGAACAAATTTGTTATTGACTAGAAGCACCCTGAAACTCTGGAAGAGGACCACAGGGTGAACCCAAAATAACTAATGTTCTTCCCTTCCGAAATTAGGCAGGTTTTTGCAGGCCTGTGAGTTGTTCTTCATGCCTGTAGACAGTAGTGGTGACCCTGGCCGCGGCCACCCCAGCATATGATCTATGATCTCCCCGTTTCTGTCGTCCCTTCAGCCCTCACAGATGGACCCTCACCTGCTTTCTCATCCTTCTTCCACCTCTGTGGGGCCGCCACTTCGCTGCCGCAGACTCCTCCCAAGTTCTTCTTTCCATTGTGAAACCTCATATGACACAGGACCTCAACCATCTCCCCATTCAAAGTGACGCAAAGGGAGACTTAGGAGAACATGGACTTGGGCGGCAGGCAGGGGTGATGGGGCGGGGAGCATGGCACTTTGTGGCGGGCGAGGAAGGTGGTTCGCGGAGAACACGTAGGAGACTGTTCAGGAAATGTGGAGCTGGAGCCCTCTGACGTCAGCTGCGGGGGGCAGGACTTCACCGCGGGGCGGGGCGCTGCTGCTTCTGCACTTCCGGCTCCAGGTCTCACCTTTGACCCACCCCCGTCCCCTTCCTTCTTCAGAGCCTCACAGTCTCTGAGGCGATTGTCCAGTGATAGACCCCGAGCATGGCCCCTCACTGCTGTGTCCAGTGCTTAGCACAGGGCCTGCCACTTACAGCTGCTCCCTCTGTCCACTTCACTATGCTGATTTCTGCTATGGATGAATCCTTGGACTTGATTCTTCAACATTTTAAGGCATCAATGGGAAATGATCTATATCAGTCTGTATAAAAATGTCCCGGAGTGGGTTGATCCACTTATGCAAAAGTACAGAAGCGCCCCCTACCCCCATTTCCACAACATACACTTTAAAAGTCCTTCATTTATGGGAGGTGGTGATCGAGTTGTCAACAGCCTGTTACTTTGCAGAGATGGCTGGCCCCAGGATTGTGGTTCAGTAATTAAACGTGGACCCCGAAACAGGTTTATGCTGTGGCTGAATGCCCCATAGTCATCACCACCACTGCTCCATGAGCCCTAACAGAGGTGACAATGTCAGGTCAGAAGGTGCAATGAACCCATCACTGTTCCTTCAGATTCACGCGGCCAGCTGAGACTGGCCGCACTGGCCGGCAGCATGTGTGCAGCAGACGGTTCCAGACACTGTCCTCTAGTCAAGGTCCAGGTGTGTTCTAATGCAACTCAGTGATTACTGTACGAGAGATCCACTACAAATACATTAAAATCACGGCATACCATTCTTGACCACTCAACTGCTTAGATGAATTTGTACTTTGGAAAGTAAATTATTTTGCCATTAAGTCTAACTTTTTAAGAAAGTGGGGTTAAAAAAAAAAAAACGGACACTTTAGTCAATGCTGTTTTCTGCCCACTTTCAAAGCAAATGGTTTAATATTTCTATCAATCTGTATCTCCTTTGGTTTGCATACAGGATAGAAACCACTACTAGCTAGCTCTGAAAAACAGGTGAACTTTGTTCAAGGCAAACACCGGGCTGGAACCATGGGCCTTTGAATGACCCGGGCCCTTGCTCATTCAGCAATAGGGATCTGCGCGCCGGGCAGCAGACGCAGAGCCAGACACCCTCCATCCTCAGAGGGTTTCAGGCCTAGGAAAGACCACACCATTCAGCTTTTCTATTAGTTCCTTTTGCTAAAAGGCAAGGGTATGTGTCTTGCCACATTGTCCAACATCCCCCCTTCCATGACTGAGAGAAGGTGGGTAGCTGGGCATAAATAAATATGTTGAGTCAAGTATTCTGTGTACTGCTGTTTTTTTCCTGTTTTTCCAGAAACAGTAAAAGTTTGTAACTAGTAAAGTGCCATAAAAACTAGCTTCTGAAGTGTGTATATGTAAAAGGTTGACTTGTATCAGAGGTGGAAAAGGAAGCATGTAATTTAGCCTTGAAGACATTCCTCTTCCAGTTGAGAACCAATCAGGTCTGGTTCTTCATCCTTTAAGGGACTGAGTGACCAACGAGAAGTTACATCATCTTGAGCTGATGCTCACACTTTAATATAATGCACTTAAGAATCCGACAGGTGATGTACAGTTTTTCACATGCCGCTCCACGGTTATGACATCGGAGGTACCCAAAGACCCGAAGGGCTGGCTTAGGGGCACAAAAGCACGGGTTCCCACTCCTGAGCTACACGCGCTCAGGCATGTAGAACTTGCCCCAGTACCGCCCCCGGAGGGTCAGGTCGTAGGGGCTCAGCACCTTCCGTATCCCCAGCATGTTGGCGGTGGCAATGCGCTCAAAGGTCCAGGGGTTCTGGTTGTTCCGTTCTCGCTCCTCTTGGTCTTTCTGCATCTTCTCTAGAGTCTCACGGCTCACGGCCTTAGCAGGGAAAGGCAACTTGTGGGCAACCTGGTCAAGGATGCCTTGTACCTCCTGGAATTCGCAGCGCCCACCCACCTCGACTATGAGGCGGCCCGCCTTCACAGGAGTCACGTAGTGGTCGATGGCACCCTTGCCGCCGCCCATGCGCTGCCCCATACCCTTGCGGGTGACGGCCTTGAATGGGGCTGGTACTCGCCATAAGGCAAACATGTTCTTGGGGTCCATGAAGCGGTTGATTGTCAGGCGCATCATTTCAAAATGCCCCCAATGGAGGTAACCGCCACCCAGTGCCTAGAAGTGAACGGAAAAATTAGAAACACATGAAAATTTAGATATTCTTCATTTGTGCTCTAAGAGGTGGTGCTAGTGGTAAAGAACCCTCCTGCCAATGCAGGGGACATAAGAGAGACAGGTTCGATCCCTCGGTTGGGAAGATCCCCTGGGGGAGGTCGTGGCAACCCACTCCAGTATTCTTGCCTTGAGAATTACATGGGGAGGAGCCTGGCAGGTTAGAGACCATAGCATCGCAGAGCTGGACACGACTGAAGCGACTTAGCACGCTATTCTTATGTCTTACGGTAACTGTGGTTTCAACGATACACATGAAAAGTAAAAATATAAATTCTAATAAGTACGATGGAGGAAAAGCCCAGGGTATGATAACAACTTGAGAACAAGTGTGGACCCACTTCAATGGACAGCCAGGGAGGACCTCTTTGAGGAGGTGACATTTATAGCTGATGCCAGAAGGGAACAAACCAGCCAAGGGAAAACAGATGAGCGTTCTGGGCAAAGGAATGGCACATGCGAAGCCTGTGGTGAGTCTGAGCAGAAGCCTGTGTGGCTGGGGCAGAGAGAGAGGGACGTGGAGCAGACCGAGGTGCTGAAAGGCTGGCAGGGCTGGTTGGGCAGGCTTTGGGAAGCGGACTTGAAAACCTCTGGCTGCCTGGTGGGAACTAAACCAGCGTCCACAGCCATCTGTGTAGGTAATGACGTCAAGTCTTCACAGAAGCTACCTGATGAGTAGGAAATGTCTAGACATCCCATATACTACATCACGGATAACCTCGATCAGAGGCTGAGTAGATCTCACGGTCTGACTATGGGATAAATGAGGTAACCTCTTCCGTCTCCTGCTTTTACATTGTTTTCACTCTATGTTAAAAAGCATTTATGACTTAATGCTTACTGGGTGCTGCACATCAGTTTAAAGAGCTGCTGGTGGCATTCTAGTGAAAGCTGTGGAGGAAGCGACCAGAAGGAACCCAAGGAGTCTGTTTTAGTCCCCGGATTCCGGCCTGGAGTCGCTGGACACGGAACTCACCAAGATTGCAAAATTGCCGTCTGTGAACTCAGTGGCTTCCGTGGACGGACCTCGTATGTCACGCAGGTTTTTAGGCTCTCTCCTCACTTTTGGCACAAGTGGTGCCCTTTCAACAAATCTAAGCTTGGGCTTTTCAGGAATGGAGACATCTAAAAGGAGCATAGACAACTAAGAATGAGTCAAACCGAAGGATTTGACTTCGGTCAAAGTCAAAGGACTCATTTTCTTCCTAGAAAGATTCATAACAACCAGGTCAAAGCCTTAAAGTTACCACTCAACAATTCCAAAAGTGTGTTCGATTTACCTTGTGGATGCTTTCATTGACACTGGAATCTTCTGACTATGGCAGTTGTTGATAGAAATGTTTTTGAACCTTTTAAGATAGCAAAGATTTAACTTGCCAAGCAAAATGCCTTTTTAAAATGCCTACTCTTTTAAAATGCCTACCCTAAAGGAACTGTTAGGGAAGGTATAGAGATACGAGACAGTGACAAAGTAACATGAGGTGACATTTTTTTGTGTATGTGAATGTATGTTTTGTGTGCTGCAATTAAGCTGAATTCTTTACATGCATTATCTCATTTAATGTTTAAAACAACTTTATAGCCCTGGTTTTTTTTAGGGCTTCCTTTTTAAATTTTTTAAACTTTTAAAAGTTTAACACACATATATTAAAGGGCCCAATAAAAAATGTGAATTATCACAAAGTGAACACACAAACATGCACATAACTATCATCCAGATAAAGAAATGGAAGGTAGTAATTTTAATCTCCATTTTATAGAAGAGGAACCTCAGGCCTGGAGACATTTTATAATTTGATCTGGGTCGTTCAGTTCAAACAGCAAAGCCAGACAGTATGATATTATATTGTATATAAAAGTAACTAAGTCTTCCTGTTTGCCACATTCTTGCTGGGAAACTTTCAACCTAGTACTCCTTTGATCAATGCTCTTTCCTTTATATAGTCGAGGGCATTTCATGCTGAGGGCTGTATATATATCCTACCATGTCCTTGCCAGGTGAAGGCAGGTGGGCTGACACCCAGGCCACACATGCTACGTCTTTATCAGGTCTGACACTGACAATATGGAAAAAAATTAACTTGCACTTACAGTTATTTACAGTTATTCTCATCGTAAAATAAGCATGGGTCTGTGATGAAGTCAAATATAAAACAGGAGCCTTTAAAGCTACAAAAACTGCCTCCTGCCATTTCTATATGTCCTGGGCTTCCCTGGTGGCTCAGCGGTAAAGAATCTGCCTGCCAATGCAGGAGATGTGTGTTTGATCCGTGGGTCAAGATCCCCTGGACAAGGAAACGGCAACCCACTCCAGTATTCTTGCCTGGAAAATCCAGTTGTCAGAGGAGCCTGGCAGGCCACAGTCCGCGGGTTACAGAGGAGTCAGACACGACCGAGCACATCACAGAGAACTCAGTAATGTTTTCTCGTCTCCAAGGCAGTATGCGCTCCAGTGGGTGTGGCAGTTTCACAGTTACACGTACAAGATGAGGCCTTAAGAAGTCCAGGCTTCTTTCATAGTTTTGAGATTTCCAATATATTTTAAAAAGTATAAGATTTATTAAATTGTGGCTTACCCTGTTTCTATTAACAAATTAATGCTTTTCACACAATAGGTACACACACACATGTGACCTCATTTGGAGCAAACGTCAGAAGTCTAAACTGGAGGCCGATTAGGTGCAGCTGAGAAGGGGGCTGCGGGTCTCGCACCAGTTGTGGGCCACAGGAGAGAGAATCCATTCCGGAGTTTTCTCCAGCATTTAGAACACTGCCTGGCATAGAGAATACCTGCAATACATGACTACCGAAGGGATGAATGGGAATAGGGGCACAAGCAAACGCCTGCTCTTCACCTACCCCCGCTAGGTTCCATCACAGAAAAGGCTTACAGACAAGATCTCACCTTCAAACGCTGGCACCGGGAGCAGCGTCTTCAGGCCGGCACGGGCGGGCAGCGCTGCCCACGAATCTACAAAGAAAGGTCAGATCAAACCCCGAAGGCGACAGGGCCAGGGCCTGACGCGCTCTGGGTCTGACGCTCCCGACAGAGCTATCCTGGGGGCCGCGGGCTCCACTCAGGGAGACCCTAGGCTTTCGGCTCCCGAGAAGGAGCAGCCGGGGACTTGGGCGCTGATGGCCCGCTCCCGCTTCAGCACCCGCGAGGGGGCCTCAAGCGGTGCGAGACAACCGACGGGGGGTGGGGGTGAAGCCCGGGGGACAGGGGACAGCTGACCTGATAGGGTCGCTCGTAGGAGGGGCGCGCGGGCGCCACTCGGCAGCTGCCACATGGCTCCGCGCGCAAAGACGACGCCCGGGAGCCTTGTCCCAAGCCGCTCCAGCCGCCGCTCCGTCGGGCCGGAAGTTGCGTTCGCGCCGGTCCAGTCCGCAGAGAGTCCCGGGAGGAAGCGGAGGAAACCGGAGGCTCGGTACCTGGGTTCCGGCCTGGCGCCCGCGGGGGCTGGCGGTCCGTTCCGAGATGGGTCCGGCGGGGACGGGCGCTGTCTCCGCGGAGGACCGCGCGGAGAGGGGCCGGAGCGGGTGGCGAGGTGCTGCCGTGCGGTTCGCTGCAGCGCGCCGCCTCTCGCCCCTCCTCCCTCCCGGGACAGCGGGGAAAAGCGACGGACGCACGCTTGCCTTAACGTTTCCCGGGCGCTGCACTGAATGCGCCTCGTCCTGGCATTGACTCCTCAACAAATCTCAGCGACAAGCGCATCCTAACGCACTACGCAGATTCCATTTCCAAGGCCAAAGGTTTAACTTGTCCCAAGTCCCACACCGGGAAAGTGGTGCAACCCGAATTTGAGCTTAGTCTGCGATTCCGAAACCAGTGAACGCACAATGTCAAAACCTGACACCAAGTTAAAATGACAAACGGTGTGATTATTCTGGGAGAAGGTTGGGCAAGTCATCTTTATGGGCCCGAAGCTTTTTCATATTTAGAAAGAGGCTCTTTCCCCAAGCTTCTAGACGGAAAACGGGATTACCAGTTGAGGCTGATGTCTACTGTACTTAAATCCTGCTAAATCCGCGCGTGGTCTTTCTCCAAGGATTAATTTCGTAAACGGCAACAATAAAACCTGTAATCTTGCAGAACTGTTGGGAGAACCCTCCCTGCCCACAGTTTTATGTACTTTTTGACTATTTGCACGCTGAATCTGTATCAGAGAAGTTAGTGGGTTTTATTGCAGCCACTCATTTCTGTCCCAAGAACGGCTCTGAAAGGGTTAAACTTGCCCCTCACCCCCACCCGCAGCTCTTCTGTGCTATCCTTGCCTCTTCACAAAAAGTGGGCGATTCCCATGTTCTCAGGCATTTAAATGTCTCAAGCCCAACGCTGTATAATATTGTTTTGGGTGGAGAATAAACCTGCAGTACAGGCACTCGTTGATTGGACTCTTAAGTCTTTTGGTACCCTGAAACGTCTACCTCATTATTTATTTTAAAAGAACTAAACATTAACTCAAATTTCTGCATTTAAGTAGTAACTGTAATGTCTATTTTTTTCTTTGTAAGAGTTAAGTACAATGGAGGCTACAAATGTGAAAATCAGTGATCCTATCTTTATGAATTTATGTAGAGGCGATATGATGGGAATACAAACAGCTAACACTGAGATATGAGAAGAATAAATAAAGGGTGTGGAAAATGGAAGGATGTACCTGAGGTCTTCCCCGATCACAGAAAAGTATTTTTCCCCTCAAATTTTTCACAGCTGTTTATTTACAGTTCTCTTCTGATAGTTCAAGGCTAGTTCTTTGTAGAAAAATGAGGTTCAGAGACTAAAATTTTGCTATACAGGTAGTATGGTGCAACGGAGACGGCAATGGCACCCCACTGCAGTGCTTTTGCCTGGAGAATCCCATGGACGGAGGAGCCTGGTGGGCTGCAGTCCGTGGGGTCGCTAAGAGTCAGACAGGACTGTGTGACTTCACTTTCACTTTTCACTTTCATGCATTGGAGAAGGACATGGCAGCCCACTCCCGTGTTCTTGCCTGGAGAATCCCAGGGACGGGGGAGCCTGGTGGGCTGCCGTCTATGGGGTCGCACAGAGTCGGACTCGACTGAGGTGACTTAGCAGCAGCAGCAGTATGGTGCAAAATAGGGAATCTTGACAGACTTAGTTTTATTGGAATGTTTGCTAGCATCTCCCAAAAGTTGGTTTTCAGACTTTCCTCAGGCCTTCGTTCAACATGTAAATATCTGGTTCCTACTTATTAAGACATTCTAAAGATGGGGTTCAGGAATTCGTGTCTTGAGCTAGCCCTACCAGTGATTCTAATACCTAATCAAGTTTGGGACTCCGTGCTCTGTGAGCACTTTGAAAGTTTAAAAAGTAGAGTATAGGCACAAGGTATTGTTTCTGGATTATCCAGGCCAGTATCCACTGAGATTTATAATCTTCCCATCTGTATAAAAGTTTATCTAACACCTCCATTTTTAATTTCTTATTTTAAACTCCAGAGTTGGAGGTAACAAATCCGTAACCCAGGCCCAGGTGCAGCTGTTGACTGAACATAATATGCATGACGCACGTAACATGCACACGTGTGCATGTGCGTGTGTGTGTGTGTACACTCTCATTTTAACAAAAATATTGGATTTTTGCTTCTCAGATTCTAATCAGAATATCATAATGTAATAAATAACCATGCAGTCTCTTCAGTTCAGAAAGGCCACAGAAACTTCTCAAGGGGCTTGTTAATATTAGCTTTGTTTCTTTTTTTGTCATAAATCCATCTAGCTTCCATATGGTGTAGAGCATTTCTAAAAGGACAATGGTACCATAGTTTTTTCCACAACAGAAACAATGTACTGGCGACTTCCCTGGTGATCCAGGAAGTAAGACTCTGCCTGCCGGTGCAGGTGACACAGCTTTGCCCCCTGGCCTGGGAGGATCCCGCACGCCGCAGAGCAGCTGAGCCCGTTCACGAGTATTGAGTCTGTGCACCGGCGCCCGCGAGCGGCAACTCCTGCACCGTCACGCCCCAGCTGCCACAGCCTGAGCTTCTAGAGCCCGTGCTCTGCAACGAGAGAACCACCGCAGTGAGGAGCCGGCGCCCGCAGCCCGGAGCAGCCCCTGCTCCCTGCAAGCAGAGGAGGCCTGTGTGCAGCAAGGAAGACCGAGCGCAGCCGAAAACAAGCGGGTGAATTAAAGACACCACGTGCTGTAACACAGTATTAATAATGACCATTCTGGAGTGACCTGCTGTTTACCAAGGGCTCTCAGGTACACGTAGGTTATCGTATTAGAGTCCTTTTTTGTCTGTAGATGACGGTGGAAACAAGCCTCAGAGAAGTCTTCCTTTTTCGCCCGTGTATCTACTGAGCATCTACCTTCCTGCCATGAGACACATGAGCATGTGTACACATGTTCCAGAGCTTTCCAGCTAAATCAGTCAGCCAGACTCTGGCGGAGTTGCTAGAGTTTTACAAGGGAGTTATTTCCAGCATTTCTCATGGAGTGAGTCAACAGGCACGAAGAACGGATCAACTTCTAATTGTTTGACCAAGAAGAGGGAACCATGACAACTACTGTTCTTGCTTTTGTCTTAGAATTTACAGACGAGATCCACGGCATTTCTATGAATGGTTTCACCATAATAAATGAATCCCTATTGTGGCTTAGTCAAGTTATTTACAAGTCTGTTATTATTGACCACGCTGCAATAAACATCCTTAGTCATACCATTTTGGTACTGTTTTGGTATTTCTATTGAGCAAATTCCAAAGAAAAGTCACTGGATCAAAGGGACGTTCACTTAAAATCATTTTGCCTCATAAAATTGCATAAAACGAGCCGTCACCAACAATGGATGAGCATGACTGTTTGTATACACCCTTTCTGAGAAAAGGTATGAGAGTCCTTTTAGAGCTTTGCCAATATGACAGGCAAATTGATGGGGAAATAGTGGAAACAGTGGTTGACTTTATTTTTCTGGGCTCCAAAATCACTGCAGATGGTGATTGCAGCCATGAAATTAAAAGACGCTTATGTAATTCAGATTGAGGAGTTGAGCTTCCTAGGCTGGACTTATTAATATAAAGGAGTTGATAGGGATTCTCTTTGCTATTCTTAGCTACTCACTGTCCTCTAGTGTGTAGTTTGTTACTCAGTTGTGTCCAGCTGTTTGGGACCCCATGGACTGTAGCCCGCCAGGCTCCTCTGTCCATGGGATTCTTCAGGCAGGAATACTGGAGTGGGTTGCCCTTTCCTTCTCCAGGGGATCCCCCTGACCCAGGGATCAAACCCGGGTCTCCTGCATTGCAGGCAGAGTCTTTACCATCTGAGCCAGGTAAGCCCCAGTCTGTAAGAAGCAGTGGAAAAATCAAAAAAGGAAGGGAAAACTGGTGATGACAATAAGGGTTTCTTGGGACAGAGTTGATATTCTCTGAGTTTCACTTCCCTCCCCGCTGCTCAGGGATGAAGTGCTCTGTGAGGCTCAGTGAGAGATATTTCAAGATCATCCCGCTGACACAGGGCTGGGAAAGTCTGTGTTTGGAGGCTGATCAAATCACCCTGTGGCTTCAGAGTAGAAGGAAGCAGCCATGTTTGCACTGATGTCAAGTCAAAGGTATGACTGTGCTGTTGGCCGGAAGGGGACCTGTGTGCAGAGCTGTACCGACGGACGGCCAGGGCCAGCGGGAAGAGTCCGTGCAGCAGCCAGCTGTCCGGCAGCGACAGACGTGCCCACATCCAGGCCCCTGAGATGTCCTCCGCGGTCAGTGTGTGTGTGCCCTCTGAAGACCCCAGGAAGCGCCCTGAGGAGAAAGAGGACACTTTAAAGTGTACCCGGGGGACTTCCCTGGCGGCCCAGTGGTTGAGGCTTTGCCTTCCAATGCCGGGGGTGTGGGTTTGATCCCTGGTCGGGGAGCAAAGCATCCCACATGGGTCACAGGCCAAAAAACCAAAACACAAAATGGAGGTAATATTGTAACAAATTCAATAAAGACTTTGAAAATGATCCATGTTAAAAAAAGTTCTTGAAACAACTATCTCAGTAGAATGCTCTAACAAAGTATCCCAGACTGGGTGGCAGAAACGATAGAAGGTTACTGCCCGCCTGTTCTGGGGGCCCAAGTGTGAAGTCAAGGTGTCAGCAGCATTGGTTTCTCCTGAGAGTTGTGGAAAAGGGTCTGCTCTAAGCATCTCTGCTGGGCTGGTAGATGGCCGTCTTCTCCTTTCTCTTCATATCGTTTTCCCTCTAGGCTGGTCTGTCCTGGGTCCAAATCCCCACTTTTATAAGGACACCAATCTTATTAGATTAGGCACACCTTGGTTAGCTCACTTTAACTTGATTTCCTCTGTGAAGATCCTCGCTCCAAATAAGGCATTTTTAGGTATTGCTGGTTAGGACTCCAGCTTACCTGTTCTTGGGGGAGAGGAGGGTACAGGTCAACTT